TGGATTTGACTTCATAATAAAAAATAAATATGTACCTCCATCTGTATTAAATCTAACCATTCCTCAAGATGTTCATCGTCATGATAGAGTTTGACAGCATTCTTAAAAACTTCCTCTGGTGCAGAATGTAGGTAGTGCCTTAATTTAGGTGTTTGATAAAATACCACCACAATAACTGATAATATTAACTCAATAAACAATACAACTGTTAAACTGTAATGAAGCTATTGTTAACATAATAGTATATTAATTGAACGTTAAATATCTCTTTGTGTTATAGCCTAAATCTAAAGAGATATAGAATAACCATAAAATTTAGATTTTAAAATCTTTTTATGTCGATCTACCCAGTTTCATAACTATACAACAGAATCCCTTAATAATCCGATGATAGTGTCCCATTAAAATTCACACTATTATGATCGGAAATAACGTCTGTAGGCCTGAATTATTTGCTTGTGCTGAAAAATGACTAGAAATAGATGTATTAACACATATCACGTGTAATTGGATACGGCTTCTTGTGATAGTATCGTAGCCCTTTAATCGTAATACGTATCCTGACATGATTGGCAACACCTATTTTGATTTTTTGGTTTTTAGTTATTTACTTTTCATTTATACTTACAGTTTTGATTAGAAGTATATTTTCACGGATAGTACCAATACAGCCAAATAAAGTAATAAACACCAGAATAATACCAAATACAGAGATTATTACAGCTGGATTTAACATAAATTCTGATATTTCTCTAGCTAATTTAGTTCTCTCATTCAATATCCATGATCCACATGCAGTAATTAGTATACCCATTATCTGGAATTTTAGTAAAAAGACTATTGTTGAATTATTTTTGGTCGATACTTTTCAAGGGAATTGGAATATCAGCTTTAGTAATAGTACTGCTAGTCTTGGAATGTCTTTGCGTTGACAAAAATATAATCTTTTCTTTTAAAAAGAAACACATTTCTCTCTTAGAAATTTCAACTCAAAGAAGTCACAAATTTTGGCTGAAAATTGTCTTCTGCGTGTTAATACTCCTCCAGTCTGTAGATTCACAGGCTTTACAAAAGACAACTCTTACTATTTACCTGAATTCTCTTACCTATTTCAGCTAAATGACAAATTCAAGCTCAATACTCACATACTTATATAAGTTTTATAATTATATGAATACAGCAGATGTATTTATTTATAGCATAGGTTAAGGAGAAGGCGATATTTATTTTTGCATTCTTCTATTCAAATCAGATTGATTTAGAGCATAACGACATTGTAACGTGATAAAATCTGACATATTTTATTTGGGGTGGAGAAAAACATTTAACTCTTTCCATTTCAGGAGTGTCGAAGTTAAGACCATAATAGTTTGACTTCATGCTACATAGTTATGAGGATAACAAATTTCTTCGAGTTTGAGGTCAATAACTCATGTAAAGTAATTCTAATTTTTCATAATTTCAACAGGGTTCACCCATGGGTGATATTAAACAATTTCACCAAGTCAAAATCAGTCGAGAATTGTGCTTTTGCATTTACAAGTTAAAAACTGAACATGTTTTCATGAACAAGGGAAGGGCAGTAACTCATTAAATATATTTTTTTGATTTTTGATAGGGTTCATTCTAACACTCACACCAGGTTTCCTGAACATTCCTCAGGAATTGTGCCTTCTAGAATGTCTATACTAGCTAAAAATTTTTTAAACCGTTTTCAATTACAAGGACAATATCTCATACTTTCTTGGGTGGTTACATTTTCAATAACTTATGTCAAAATCATTCAAAAAAATTGCAAGGAATACTCTCCAAACTCACTATTTGAAGGAATATGTGTTACTATTGATTTAATTTCATTTGATTTTTTTTTGAATTTCTAAATAATTTAATTGAAATGAACAATATCCCCCAAAAATGTGCACTGATTATAAGATGAATGAAAAAAAATTATCATCAAATTCAAACATTAACAATGTCTCATCGACGTACACACAACGGTGATAACTGAGAAACCAGTTCCATTACGATCGACGTTTCATTATAAAGGCAATAACTCCGAAACCGTTCATCCGATTGTAACCGATATAAAGATAACATACGTCCACTGCCATGAATGATAGTGACTAAAATACGAATATTTTAATACCGATATTCTAGAAAAGGATCTTCGTAGCATTTGTATTTCAAAACCATCAAATTAATTAATACCTCATCAATTTACTCATTATTTACCATTACACGACCTTTTTAAAAAGAAATCTAGGCTACACATTTTCATGTCTTAAATTTTTAAAGAGGAAGTGCAAAGTCCATTTTTGAAATCCTTAGACTGTTGGACCGTGAAATAAAGTAAGCGCGCCATGTTATTTTTGTTCAAATTTTACTTGTGAGTATAGAGATAATGTCGGCGACTTCATTTTCGACTTTCTGTTGTTAAAAGGTAAATAGGTCTAGTGTTAGATCTGTAGGCTGAAGGTTGCATAGCCTATATGACCTAAGCTTAAATTTCCTCGAATTTTAAGTATTGAAACATTGCAATAAAAGTGGAGCATTTAGATTTTCTGCCTCTACGCTGGCCACTAGAGCTTTCTCTGACAATTTTAGGCTAGTATAGAGGCAGACAATCTAGATGTTCCACTTTTATTGCAATGTTAATACTTAAAATTCGAGAATTTAACAACAGAAAGTCGAAAAAATGCAGTCGCCAACTCACAAGTAAATTTCTGAAAAACTAACACGCCGCGCTTACTTTAATTCACGTTCAAACTCGCCACAGTGAACAATATTTATTTATTGTTTCGTTTCGTCAGACGTAATAAAAACATTCCAACTTTTAATTGAAGCCTGCCGTTGTCGGAGGATTCAAGACACCGGCTGTAGAGAGTAGATCTAATTCGATTTGGCCTACATGTATTTTTTTTAAATGAATGCCAATATCAACTCATGTCTGCATTTTAAGAATAGGAAGGCCCTTTTCATTAGCCCACATGGAAATGTGGCCATATATTGTCGTCGCCCCTGTCCGTCCGTCCACATTTCTTGTATGCACGATAAAGACTACAGTTTTTATTTGATCTTGATGAAACTTGGTATGCATGTATTGATGAGATCTGGGTCAAGTTCGAAAATGGTAATAATGGGATGAACGG